ACACAGTCTCCTTTGGGGCCCCCCAGGGTTTTGTACTTGACCCCATCCTGTCCTCCATGCACATGCTTCCTCTCAGTCATGCCGTCAGCAGGCATGAAACTAAGGTTCATTGCTACACTGCAACAATTTAAAAAACATTTTCTTTAAATAAGTGCGTTTGTTTTGAATTGAGGAGGTAAGTGAGACACTTTGCAGGTGGAAAAAGAGTATTTACATTTAAAATAAGAATTGATTTCTCTTATTTCAAGAGCATATTATAAAATTATCTTATTTTAAGAGTAGAAATACTCATTCCATTGGCAAATCATCTTATTTACCTACTCAAGTTAAGGGCAAATACGCTTAATTTAAGACATTTTTACTCATTTCTAGATTGTTTTCGCAGTGTATGCTAATGAGAAGAAACTCTAATTCAAAATCATCCCCTCTAGCTCCCCCGCCACGTGAGTTAACTTCCTCAGCTCCTACCTGGAGAAAGTTAAGGGATAGATAAGTTTAACAGTCCTAAAACAGAAACCATGTTAACTGGAATGACTCGTCAGTTCTGCTGTTTTCTTATCATCTGATAAACCAAAATCAGTGTGGCCAACACTGCTCTTGCTACTGAAGTTTGCTGCTGTTAAAACTGCTTGAAGTGAACTTCTTGGTTGGATGTTATATCTTGGCAGGTCACACTTGTATGCTGGATGCGAATTTTGAAGCTGGAGTGAAAAATATCCATGTAATCTGTATGTAGATGGCAGATCTGGAGCAAAGATAAGTGAAGCTTATTAATAATAATTGAACATTATTGATCTCACATTGGGTAAATTTACCTCTGCATTTCACCCACCCCCTTGGGAAGCAGTGGGCTGCCATCGTGGGGCACCCAGGGGGCAGTGTGGGGTTAAGGGTCTTTGCTCAGGGACCCAGAGTGTCAGTCTGTGGGAGTGGGGCTCAAACTCAGAACTTAAGGATTCCAAGCTCTACATCATAATCACTAGGCCTCCACTCTCCATGTTCCTTCCCCTTAGTGGGGAAGGTTGAGAATAAAGTGAGGTAAATCGGCCCGATTTTGGCAAATTGTATGAAATTTGATTGCGACCTTGCCTGCGAATAAAGCCAAAGGGAGGTTGAAAAATCTTAACTTTTGTTCACATGACTGCGATGGACTGCACTGTAAAAAAAGTCAGTAAATTTACGGTAAAAAAAGGTAAAAAACCAACAGTTTTTGACCGTCGTATCCAAAAACATTGCATTACCGTAGAAATTACATGGAACTACCGTAAGTCGAAACTGCAAAGAAAGTCAGTAAATTTACGGTAAGAAATGGTAAAANATTTTACCGTATTTTAGAAATACGGTAAAAAACTGGCAGCTTTGGTTGCCAGAATTTTACCGTATTTTAGAAATACGGTAAAAAACTGGCAGTTTTGGTTGCCAGAAGTTTACCGTATAAAGACGGTAAACTTCTGGCAACTCAGCTGCCAGTTTTTTACCGTAAAATGAGGCTGTTTTTTTTTTACAGTGTGGCGACCTGTCCAGGGTGTACCCCGCCTATCGCCCGTATAGAGCTGGAGATAGGCACCAGCACCTCTCGCTTGGGATTAAGCTGTCAGAAAATGGATGGATAAATGTTTCCATGAGTGTTCTGAAATCCAATCGGGGAGCAGATGTAGCTTTGAGCTGCAGTAAAGGAGGCGGCAAAGACAAGGGGTTTTAACAAAAATTAGAAGATAGAGAAAATAATGTTGAAGTAAGGAATGTTCTGTTTTGTAGGCGACTAAAAAAAAGGTTTTAATTTAGCATGCTACTTTCAGTGCAGACACCAACCAGCTGATGCTCTCTCTCTATCGCTCCGTCACTCTGTCTGCCCGCCAGGCTCCTCTGATCCTCTGCTATGCTCTTTCATTGTCCTGCAGTTGCGTCTAGAGGCTACCTCCAGCCAACTGTAGCCCCTCCTAGGTTTGTCTCCCTGGTACGTTTCTCCAATGTACCACTTTCTTTCTGCCAGCTACCCACAGCCTCTCCCCCACCTTCTGTATCTGTAAAGGGATTTGATGATCAGCTAGACTACTTGGAAAAACCAGTCTGGAAAAATAACACGAACAATGGACTTTGTCTGGATAAAGCAGCAGAAACCTGGGAAGAAACAGAAGGTAAATTAAAAGAGTTTATCATTAAAAACTAAAGGGAGACACTCCGGTGGAGACCGAGTGCGTGTACAGAAATGAGAAATTTAGAAGTGAAAATGATAGACTATTGTTGAAAAACATCTGCACTTGAAAGACCAGCCGATCCTGAATCAGACCCCAGCTGAAGAGCTAAGAGCCTAATGTAGAAGTCACCTGTTTGGAGGTTCATATTCCCCATGTTAGACCAATAAATGTGGGCTTTATAAAAAGGCCACCAGCTTTGAATCCGCTGAAAGTAGATGGATGAACTGTGCTTTCTACTTACAAAGAAATGTATATGTCAGGGGATTTAAATATTCATTGGAGTCTAAAATATCCCCACTAAAGAAATGGTTTATGATTTAAAACACCCAGTGAAACGACCTACTCGGATCTTCTGTGAGAAATTAGGGCACATATCTTTAATGTGCAATGATCATAATTACTCCAATTACAGTGCTGTTTGCTCTAAAACAGATTCTGCACACACCTTAGTGTAGTTATATGAAAGTTAAGGCACTAAAAACTGGGAAAGAAGAGATGCTGTGGGAATGTTTGTGAAGAAGATTTTCAGTGACAGGTATAGGGATAAAAGGTACAGACCTGACTGTCAATCTTTTCTATAACCTGTTTTTTCTGTTGTAATTAAACATGCACCGCTAAAGAAGGATACTGTCAAAGGTAAGAAGGCTTCATGGTTTGATGGAGAGCTCAGACACAGGATGGCACACAGACTCATTGAAAAAGGAAGCATGTGCTTCAGGGAAAACTGCACAGTGTGAGAAATGGACAGCCTGCTGCAAAGACAGGAACAGAGGATATTATAGACACAAAAAAAGAATGATGGGAGAAATCTCTGGAATACCTTTATAGGAGCAGATGACAGAACTTTTAAAGGCAAATTAATAAAACTTAGAAACTTAGCACAGATTGTCAGATAGTTCTGCATCAGGAGAGATGAACGATCGGTGGTACACCAATGTTAATAAAATTTATTCCAGGTGCTGCTTTTGACTCAGGAGATCATGATTTGATCTGCCAATAGATTTGCTTTCACGCCACTAAACTAGGTAAGACGCGACTTGACCTGTAGAGCAGAGGTCACGGATTAGCAGACCCACCTGGACCCACCTGCTGGCTAATCTGGAACAAACCTGATTTAAAACATTTATAAATTACTGCATGTTGTCCGACGACAGTCTAACTTTACTTGCACCGCTTCTCCTGTTAGTTAATACGGTAAAGCCCTCCAGAGCGTCTGGCACCAGGCTACACGTGATAGAAATTAGCCAATGAGCTGCTGTCAGTTTGGGTTGCTGCTGCTGCTGCTTTTAGACACAGCAGGCAAACCTGTGGCAAGCCGGGTGATGGGAAAGAAGGAGAAGATGCTGAGAAAAAGAGAACAGAGAAAGTGTGGACTGCTGGAAGAACTGCGGTGAACTAGTGAAAGAAAAGTGAAATGGTGCTCAAAGATGACCCTGCACATTTAGAGGATGTTTGGCTCAACCTGCTGCTGTGAAGCAGGATTCTCCACCATACAGTAAAGCTAATTACAAATTTCTGGACCTTTACTGGTTGTGGATTTTCTTTATTCAGACCCCTTTGATTTTGAATTGGTCCCCCCTGTCCTAGAGGTTATAACTCTATTATAGAGATACATAGTGTGTTTACACAGGACAAACTAAAATGCACACACATACTTATAGTACAATTTGAAAAGGCCAATCAACCCGGCAAGGATGTTTTTGAACTGCGAGGGAAACTTGGAGTACTTTAGGAAAACCCATGTAATGGTAAAGGTAGTCCCATTACTCCATGAAATATTATTGATTTTGTATTATTTAGTTTTAAATGAGAACAAATAGTTGGGTTGTTTGAGTTCTTTATTGTAGTTTTGTTTGAACTTTTTTAATGCATTCTTGTGAAGCACAATGACTGGTCATCCTACCTGTGGAAAGAAGTGTAAACATTGGTGTCAATTATTTTTCCTTAGTTTCTGTTTATGTAAAGTTAAAGTACCTACCTGTTCTTGGTTTGGCTCCTCAGCAGGGCGTGGCAGAAAAAGGTACGGTAGAAGTGCTCCAGGTGCTGCAATGCACTTGGAGCAAACCAAAATGTTCAAGAGGGTAGTTTTGGATTGTTTTTTTTTTATTTGATGGGGTTTTTGTAATTTGACTTTATATTTGTTTAATTGTATTGGCTTATAAGTAAATATCACTTTGGGTGTATAGTTTATTGTTTTGGTTTACGTTTATATGTATATTAATTTAGCTTCTTTTTCTTGATAATCCCTTTTCATGGTTCCTTCCTTCATGTCACCTGAATTCAGCTTGGTATAACATGCTGTTTGTTCTTTTTAGTGTGAGAAGGTGTTTGTTTGCACAAGCTGAAGTTCAATAAAACCACCATAACTTCAGTTTTGTCTTGTCTCTCCATTAAATATTGGGCCTCCCCCGGTCAAACTGACAACCTACTTATGGACAAGCATGACAAAATTTTTTTAAATGTTTTATGCCTTATTTTCTTAAACCTAAAAAAAAAAAATAAATAAACTGGCATCATGGTGCTGTGCTCTTTCCTGTATCCAGATGGAGGTGATGATACAAAAGAAAATCAAAGTATTGTCATCAACTATTGCCATTTATATATTTTTTTATTTTCAGAAAAGAACGGAAAAAACTTTGCTTTCACAATTCACTTAAAAAGACTTTAACAATGACCAATATTGAATTTGAAGGATCCTCAATCCGTTTCTAAGAAATTGTTAAACATAGGTGAGATCTTGATAGAACAAAGAAGTAGCTTTATTTATTCTATACAGCATGCAAGGACATTTTCTTTGGTAGCCTCTTTTTAACTGTGCACGTTCCATTAGATATATGTAAGATAAAATACAATATATTAAATTAAACAATAGCAAGTGTAAAAGCAGTATGTACGGCTACAGATAAGTAATTATCCGAAGTTCTTTAGCTGTTGTCTTTTTTAGGTGTGATTAACCATCCGATACCTTTCATAACTGCTGCACCTCCTAGTGCTGCCATTTGTGTGGCTGACAAAGCTTCAGCTTCCTCTGACAAAGCTACAGCTTCCCCTGCGATCATTGCACCACCAACTGTAGGGACAGTTGCTACTGCTGCTGCTAACATTAAAGAATTTCCTGCATTATCCACACGTTGTCCAACCTGAGCCCACCATAGATTATTCTGGGCGTTTTCGTAAATCTTGCTGGTATAATGACCTCCATTTAATTCTACCACCTTGTCTATAATCTCAAATAGCTCATTCACCTGAGTTTGATTTCCAATGTTCTTATTCTCAAACACAACATATCTATCTTTACAGTCACTAATGAGCTTCTTCAAATCCTCACTATCGTTCAAATAGCTCTCAATGGTGCCCTCAAGCTCACCACCTCTGGTGAAAACAACAACTGTGTACTTTGAGACTTCCTCACCAAAGTTTTTCGTGATCCACTCTATGGCATTCTTCTCCTCTTCTGTAAAGCGTCCAGCAAGACTGATGACAAGCAGGAATATATGTGGTCCAGGAAGAGACATCATGATACATTTCTCTATTTCTCTTTTTAAGTCTTTCTCAGAGAGCTTTGTGTCGAACATCCCCGGAGTATCGATGACGGTCACTGTTCTGTCATTCAGGTGACAAGTTCCTGGTTGACATTCCTTAGTCCCAGACGAAGGAGATGAGACGACAGTAAAAACCTTCCTTCCCAGGATGGTGTTTCCTGTTGCACTTTTACCAGCTCCAGTTTTTCCCAGGAGGACAATTCTTGTTTCTTTGAAAGAACCAAATAAAAATGTGTTGATTCAGGAAGTTATAACTAAGACCTGTCAAATACATGGATAAGTCTCCTGAGGAAGAAAGACATACTGACCTTTAGCTGAGTCTGAATCCATGTTGGACAAGATATAAAAGAAGATCTAGATAAAATAAATCTGGATCAACTTTAACTGCAGAAAAAGTTGTTTTGTTCTCGGCTCCAGCTTCGTGCTGTTTATGTCCTCAATTCTTATTCCTCCACCACAATAGTAGTCCCTCCCTTTTTCCTCCTTAGTTAGGCCAAACCTTCTTCCAGTGAAATGAAGCTGTCCTGTGTATTAACCTAACCTGTTTAACAAAGAATGAACCTCAGAGAACAGTAGATAAGTTAATGGACCGGTTGCAACACACACTTATGGGAAACGTGGCATTTTAATAAGAGGTTTAAAATAGTTTGACTAGTTTTCTTGAACTCCACATTTAGGATTGGAATTAATCTTTATTTTATTTTAAGCTTGTTGAAACCGATATGTTACCAACCTGTTTACTTTATTACATAGTTTTCCAACCCATTTATAATGTTACAACCAGTGTAACATTATAAAATATAGAAGCTAATGAAGCGGAAGATTCAGAGGTGATGATTTTTAACAGAGAATACTCTGACAGCAAGCAGTGGAATGTCCTTGATCTTAGAACGCAGTGTATCAGGGTGTGACTGCAGATCTATAAAAAGATTCTCTCTTTCTTTTTCTTTTTTTAAAGGTTATTTAAAAATTTTTGGGGGTCATTCCTGTTAAGCCCTGTATGCCAGTTGTATATAACCTGAGCCATTTCCTTAGTCTGAGAAAAATTAAAGGAGTGTTTGATCCCAGTGATCACATCTAAAAAATAAAATAAATAAAACTGGGGAAAAGAAGGATAAATAGGCATCTTTAGAAGAGCAAACATATTTCCTGGAAACATGTTTAGAATCATATTGTAATTCCCTGGTGTTAAAACAGTAAAACTGTTCTTTAAAAAACAATATAGCTTTTGCAGTTTGGCTGGCAAACAAAAGTTTATCTGCCGTAAAAACACAAATAACAGACATTTTCCACCTTATTCTTTAGACAACAATGGGGCTTTGAAAGGATAAACTATATAGATGAATATAGGGAGGGAATTCCTTAAAACATTCAAAGAGAATCTGACGAACAGAAACAGGAGGCGGTTTCTCTATTGCCACCACTGGAAAACAATAGTTTGGACTTGAATAACAATACTTTGAAAGTAACCATGGGTTTGGAGCTTTCCTACATTTTGCTGTCAGGACTCCAGTCTCTGTGTTTGTTTTTGTGTTGTTCTCCCTTCCACCAGCAGGAGGCGCCTGGCTCTGGTCCGCCTCCTCACACACCTGATGATGGTTACCTCATTAACGGAGTGCTGCTGATTGCCACTTCCTCGACGCCAGACTGTTTGCTAGTTTTGGGTACTCTAGCCAAGCTGAGTTTTTGCTGAGTAAGACTGAGTTCTTGTCTACCCGAGTTTTAACTTCGTTTTTGTCTTTGCCTCTCTGCAGGAAGTCATCCTGCAAAGTGGACCTTTTCGGACCTCCTCTCCCAGGAGGGATCAACTGAGTCTCAAACCGAGCTGGGGATTCAAACTGGAGGTTTGGATCCAGTTTCATTGAGAGGACGTTGAGTTTACTCTCTGAGCAAGGGAATCATCTCCACAACGATCCATTCAAGTACAGCAGGAAATCTGAGTCAGTTTCTCCGTTCAATAACTTCTCTGGAAACGTGAGTCAACAATCAGATAATCTTCTTCAAATCCACGGATAAAATTTCCCACTGAGCCTGAACTAACAGTCTGTCTTCCCCTCGCCTTCCAGTTCCGGTCGAGCAGAGTTCAGGGCAACTCTGCACCGTGCCTTTTTCTTCTTCTTCTTCTTGTTTTACTGGCGACTTGCAACCAAATGGAGCATTACCACCACCTACTTGATCTTATTTATGTTTCCTTAAATCCTTAGGTTTAGTCCAGTTTGTTGAAGATAAGATGACATGATTTTAAGTACTGTCTTTCTGGATTTATTTGAGAAGATATTTTTAATGTCCAGTTGTTTGATTCCTTCATGTTCCAGTCCTTTCCTTAAATCTATTCTTTGACTTGCATATTTAATTTCACATTTTCCTGTTGGATGCTTCCCAATAACATGCAGTGATGCATTTAGCCTCGTGTGGCCTAACCTAATTCTACTAAACATCCCCTGTTCTCTCCTGCTCTTCCCAAGAGGCTCTTCTTCTCCCACCTTTTGCTGTATCCTATATAAA